CTTATGGTGAGGTGAGTGAGAGAAACTGACACTCTACCACAGTTTGACTCCAGCAGAGGACTTTCTGGGCCCGAGCAGTCCTGCGGGAGCAGGGCGCGGTGGCGACTCCAGCCACACATCCCCCTCTCGGGCGGGATTGGTGAAAAGTGCCTGGCATGCGTGACGCTGCCGGCGGACCTGGTAGACTGTCCCAACCCAGATCCCAGAGCCTGACGGTGGCCGGGAGGGGAGACGCGTAGGCTGCCTGGTCCGTAACTCCCTGGTGCAAAGCGGTGAGCGGGAACACCTAACTGGCGCAATTCGATCAGGCTGTGGCTGACTGGGAGAGAAGCTGGGCCTCTTATATAAGCTTGCATATATAAGGAACAGAGAAGAAGAGGCAGCATGGGAAGAGGCAGCAACAAGAAAGTCTCCTCGGCCCCCAATTCTGAGAAACAGGCAATAGCAGACACCGCACCAATACACATAAGGCACCATATAGAGAGCCTCATACACCAATTCAGGAATGAAGTTATCAACGACCTGAAGCTAGAAGTATGCAGAATAGTTAGAGAAATGCTAAGCACCACCCAAGAAAAAACAGGTGATGGAATGGAAGAACAGAAAAAAAGGGGAGAATTGTTTGATGGAGAAAACAGAGAAAGCATAGAATACGTGAAGCAGGTTCAAAGGGACTACCAAGATACTAAGAAGTCTATCGAAGACTGGCATAACAGCTTGAAAGAAACTAAGGACAGACTATCTGAACTGGAGGGCAGACTTGTAATATGGGAGAATGAAATGAAAAACTTCTTAAAAATAACAAAGAAACAAACAGCAATAATACAAAGACAAGAAGATGATAAGAGGATCCATAACTTAAGGATTAAGAACATAAAAGAAGAAGTAGGGACACAAACAAGTGAACTACAAAAGCTACTCACAGAAATAATCCAGGAGAATTTTCCTAATTTAGCAAAAGGTAAAGATACTCAGATGTATGAGGCATACAGGACCCCAGCTACCTACAACCCAAACAGAGCAACACCCAGGCATATAATAATAAAAATTCCAGAAATTCAATACAAGAACAGAATATTAAAAGCTGTAAGAGACAAGAAACAGACCACTTACAAGGGAATACCCATCAGAATTACAGCAGATTTCTCTGCACAAACCATCAAATCACGAAGAGCGTGGGGGGAAATAATTCAAGCATTGAAAGAAAATAATCTCCAGCCAAGATTGAGATATCCTGCACAACTGTCCCTGGAAATTGATGGAAAAACAAGGTGCTTCCAGGATAAAGAGGAACTGGGGGAATTTGCAACCACCAATTCAACTCTACAGAAAGTATTGCAGGATATTCTAAAAAAAGAAAAATACAAAGAACCCAGAAATAGTGGCGGGGAGGCCACAACAAATGGAGCAGAGAACAAAATGAAGAAGACAAACTGACAGCTACTGACAGAAAAAGAGCTTAACAGAAATGAGGCAGAGAAGATTGGATGATAGGAACAGCTATTTTGGAGAAAATGACATCTTAATAGGTAATACTGATTTAGTATCATCTTGTTTTGAAGTCTCATCTAGCTTTTGTCCTTCTGTCTCCAATGGTCTAAATAGGCTGTATCTTATTGGATTTTATTATGTACGATAGTATAAGCAAAAACCTTTTAAAGACAAGGAGATTATACAGAAACCATTGTTCATTTTCTGTTAGTCGATTCTAAATACTCTGTAATGCTGTCATTCTCTTGAATGGTTTTACATTGTTTTGATATACTTAATGCTACAGTATACGAAGTTGTACTCAAGGATTTCAAAGAAAGAAACAATATGGTAACTACTTTTAGGTTAGGATTATCTGGTGGTGAAACACTATTCTGCTTAAATGGTTATGTTTTGATCTGCGCTGTTTCGTTGTTATGCCCTCTTTTATTTCAATCTCCACTCCATTATTTATTTTTATCTTTATCCTTTTAATTAAAGGAAAAAAATAGCAGGATATATTATAGTAACCCACTTTGACTTTTCATTACCTTGATTTAAAGCCCTGTATTACTCTCACCATCTGGTTTTTTTTTTTTTTTTGGTCTTTTTCATTTTTACCGGTACCAGGGATCGAACTCACGACTGCCTGCTTGCAAGGCAGGTGCTTATGCCGCTGAGCTAAATCCCCAGCCCCCACCATCTGGTTTTTAACTGATGTTCCCCTATTCTGTTTTGCTGGATAGTATCAGGTTCGAAAGTTTAGGCATCAGCTGTGAAGATAATGAGATTCATTATGACGCCCATTCTTGTTGACTTTTAGCTACTTTTGAAGACCTACAATGTCTCCAATGTTTTGGTTTTGTCGGTTTTATTCTTTACTGTTTTGTTCAATTGTATTATAACTAATGATATAGGCAATTCTATTAGAGATAGCGGGAGACATTATGGTAACCATTGTTGATCACCTGTATTATGTTTTTACATTATCTATTATGTCCACCCTTTTGACTTGACCGATTCTGTTCTGTTATGTCACATTTGGTTTTACTCTCTTCCAAAAAAGTAATAAGAACCGTGGGAGCAATGAAACCCAAAATGTGTAATAGTCATGGTACAAAAGAGAGGAAAAGAAAGTACTCTAAACTATATAACTGCATGTATATTTAAGTGTATAAGATAGAAAATGATATCACAGAGTTTTATTGGATCAATGAACAGAACTGTTTGCAGTATCATAGATGGAATGTCCACTTTACAAGCTTTAATTTTGTGACTTGAACAATTATTTCTAAGATGACAATATGTAATCCATTAACTAGTGATTTCCTACTGTTCATTTTTTTTCTGTAAATCTGTATAACTTGTACCCTTTCCCTGCTTTTTTTTTTTCTTTTCTCCTTAAATAAAATTAAAAAAAAAAAAAAAAAAAAGATGGGGGCAAGAAGAGAGGAAGGAACCTAAAAAATCATAAGGCAAGACAGCAGGCTGAAATCAGATTAACTAAGAACTCCATACACAGAACAGTCAAATACACCCACATCCACAATGTACAACCCTAGAAACATGCAATTACCTTTCAGAAGAGAAGCTATTTAATGCTTCAAAAAAAACCCTGGATTCTAGTTGATAAGTTCTCAAGAGAAAAAAAAATTGGGCCAGGTTTTTTGTTTTTTTTTTTTTTTTTTTTTTTTTGTCTTTTTTGAGACGGAGTCTCACTATGCAGTTCAGGCTGGCCTTGAGCTCACTTTGTAGCCCAGGCTGCTCTGGAACTCGCAACGATCCTCCCACCTCAGCCTCCCGAGTGCTGGAATTACAGGCATGAGCCACCACAACTGGCTCTTGAGCCAGGTTTTTTTTTAAACTTTTTAAAAAATTTTAACCCTAGGGGGCTGGGGATTTAGCTCAGCGGCATAAATGCCTACCTTGCAAGCAGGCAGTCGTGAGTTTCGATCCCTGGTACCGATAAAAACGAAAAAGACAAAAAAAAAAAAATTTTAACCCGGAACTCTACTTACTCATAGACAATTAGAAGATAAATAGATTCCTAAAAGATAAGAACAAGTCTATGCAAAAGCAAACAAGAAATGGCTGCATGGATTAAAAATATGATTGGCAAAATAAGAGAATGAGAAAATACAGCCAAGATAATAACTTCAAACAGAAACTTAAAGTAAAAACAAGTTCAAAATTGTTAAGTATTACCCAAAGGAGAATGGTAGGCTTACATGATCTACTCTACTGATCTATATTTTTAGCTACGGTCAGATATTCTTTACTACCTAATTACAATTATGTTACATCTTACTGTTTTCTATTTGGGCCAAGATTTCTTTGTGTAATTTTTTTCCTTTGAATTTTTAAATTGCCTTTTTCTTTGGAAGAGGTGGAAAAGCACTATAGGTATTAGGTTTTAGATATGGAAAAAAATAGGAATCCAAAGAAGGAAAAAATATGTTATTTACAGAAGTGGGAAGAGAGCATTTACCCTTCCCATGAGCCAGCAGCAGCCACACAGGGCTAAGAGGTAAAACAAGAAGTCGATTCACCCTTCCTGTGTTCCAGTGGTAGCCATCCATGACCACGAGGAGAAACAAGAAGCCAATTCGCCCTTCTCATGAGCCAGCAGCAGGTATGAGGGGCCAGGGTGAACCAAAAGTGAATTTACCCTTGCCATGAGCTACAAGCAGCCATGAGAGGCTGGGAGAAGAAACAAGAAGCCAATTTGCCCTTCCTGTAAGCCAACGGTCATGTAGGCTGAGAGACAAGAAGAGCTGCACCTCCCCCCCCCAGTAAGTAACCAGCTGATTTGTAGGAACACAGCCTGAATTAATAGAAATTGAGGTACAAAGACAATGTAATGCCAATATAATGCTTATATTTTCAGGCCTAAAGCTGGTAATCCAAGTATCTATTTAAAAGATAACAATATGCAATATAGCAACTATGGAAGATTTCCTTCTGTCTTGTGTTTGAAATCCAATACTGTTTTCACTATTTTGTGATATCTGATTGTTTTGTTTTCTGTAATGTTCTATTTTGACTGGTTTTATTCTTTTTTTTTTTAATTATTATGTCTGATGTTATGGACAGCAATTTTAAAGACAGTAAGAGGTATTATGGTAACCATTGTTGATTTCCTATCATCCTACTTTGAAGTCTTATATCAGTTTCACTGTTTTATTTTGATTGGTTTTATTGTTTTATTTGGTTTTATTCTCTTTAAAATAAATTTGTTTAAAAAGTAGGAAGAGAGGGAAAAAAAAAGTCAAATTGATAGAGAGCAAATAGGAAAGAATACTTTTTACATTCAGGTAGTTAGCATTCAGAGAATCCAGGAGGAACTAGCAAAGAAAAGAAGATTGAACCATGTGTGTGTTACATTTAGTTGATACACTTTTAATTTTATTGATAACATAATCCTGACTTTTTTTTGGTGGAGGTACTAGTGATTGAATCCAAGGCCTCACACAAACTAAGTATACTCTAACACTGATACCTCAGTCTTCCATCTTTAAGCAGATACTTACCTGACAGGGAACTGGCCAGGCTTCCTCTTCGTAACTTACAATCATCCTGACTAAACTGTCGCTGGAGTTTAGCTTTTCCAGTAGATGAAAATATGTCAGGATTACTGAGCTTCCTGAAGAGCAGGGGACTAAGTCCAGTTATCACATCCTTCAAAGGAGAAAGAAGAAAATAGAAGTCTTCAGTATCTTTATAAAGTATAAGAACTTTATATTTAATATCTCTACAACATTCATTATACTTAAAAAGTACCAATGTTTTATATTTCCCATTCAATAGCTGTTACAGTTAACTATGGAATCAACTTGAAAAAGAACTGCAGCTACCTTTCACAACACTGAGGTCCCAAGCTCCTCTGATGATGAAGACAGCCGAGTTCATACCAAGAAAGCCATCGCAACAAGCTTCTCTATGACAATCAACAGTGTACCATCTTCTCTAGTTCTGTTTTTATGCTGCTGACAACAATCCTCACACTGATTCAATTTAGCTGGGTGTTACCAGTTGACCATTAGTTAATCTACCACATTCATTACCTGATACTATGAAAATACTAAAAGCCACAAAGAAAAAAAATAAAAATTCTCATCTCTCTGAGAAAAAATGAAAAAGAAAAAAACTCTCCAAGACCATATATTATGTTTGATAAGTTCACAAATATGGGAAAGTACTTGGTTGGTGGTGCGTGTCCAGAACATAATAAATGCTTACAAATAAAAATGAATGGATAAAGGGGGAAATTGGGGCACTGAAACATTAAAGCAGTTACAAGATGTCTACACAACTTCCTCAGAGTGAAGAGTAAGGAAAAGTAAGTTGGAAGTATTTAATAATGTAAACAGAAGGAACCAAGGGAACACCCTATATATCTACCATTTGGAGTGTCAAAGATGAAATGGTACATATGAATCAAGGAGAAATCTTAGTAGGATATAGGGCATGGGCACTAATTCTGATAACCCACTATACAAGTCTGACCTCTCTTTGAATTCTAAGAATATGGCAAAGCAACAGAGAAAGAGCCTCCCCAAGATGTGGTATCCAAACAATGAAATACAGCAACATGATGAAGAAGGAAAGTGGGTCCCCTGGACCCAGAAAGAACCTGAAGCAAGAACTGAAGTTCACAGGGAGAGCAAAGAGAAACCTTAAGGAAGAAGGAGATGATAGGCCACATCTTCTCTTGGAGTTGGACTCCCTACATGGGAGAGGCAGTTTAAACCAGCAGAAACATAGTGACTGCTGGCAACCCCTGAGGGCCTCCACTGAGAGAGGTGCCAGTGGAAGGGAACATTTAAATAGGTCAGATTTCAGTGGCCTGTGAGTAGTGCTGGATGAGAGGTACTGTGGGAGAGAGCCACTAGGTGGGAGCCATCTTGGAGAGGGCCAACTGAGCTCAGAACTCAGAACAACTGCAGGTTCCATCTAGTGGCTCCCAGCTCAAGTTTGCAGAAGGCAAGCCCACTGCTGCAGGCTGAATGGGTCTGGTTCCAGCCTCACAGCCAAAAACCAAACTGAATTTCAGAGAAAATAAAAAATAAAGGTGCAGGCTTCCTGGGATTAGCCACTAGCCCTCCATAAAGCTACTGCTAACTTGCTGGGATTAATCAACATAGATCTGGACTCTGACTCCCCATGTTGTCTACTAGTGACAACAAAGACATACCTTAAAAAAGACATTTACTTTTCCTTTTTTTTTTTTTTTGTTCTTTTGTTATTTTTTTGTTTTGGTTCTGGTTTTTTTTTTGTTTTTGTTTTGTTTCTTTCTTTGTTGATTATTCTTGTTTTTATAAAAGCATGAACAGTTTCTAGGTTTTTTCCTTTGAGGTTGTTGCTCTGTTCTATTATTTTTATTTCTCCTTATCTCTTTCCTTCCTGTCTTGCACACCAATTTCCCAAAGTTTGTGAGACCCTCCTTTGTAATCCAGCTTTGCTTCTAGTATCTTCCTCTTCTATTTCTCTAATTTTTTTCCCCCAACTGCTTTTAAATTTTCTTCCCTGAGGGTAAAATTCTCATTACCTACATGAAATTTTCTGGTTTGTTTTAGATTTTGTTATATGACCACAAATCTAGTCCATAGAGTTAAAAGTGGCAAATTAGCCCACCTGGAAACCAGTGCTATGAGCAGACTGCCACCAGAGTGGGAACAGCCAGAGCCAAGCCTCTCTGTGTGAGTTAACATCATTTGTGGACTGCAGGGGGAGAGAACCAGGCCTCACCAGGAAGCAATCCCCACCTGAAAACCATATCATTTTCATTGTTATATTCTCTTTTATTTTTTTTTTTGATTATGTTAAATCTGATGGCATGAGCAGCTATTTAAAAGACAGCAAGACATACTATGGTAGCCATTTTGGATTTACTACTGGCTTGTTTGGAAGTACTTTACTGAAATTATTGTTCTGTTTTTATTGTTTCTATTCTATTCTGTTCTGTTCGATTTTTACTACGTCTAAAGGTATCTGCAGCCATTTTTAAGACAACAAACGGCATTGAGTAACTATTGTTGATTTCGTAAGGTTTTGAAGTCCTGTATCACTTGTATTGGTTTATTTTGATTGGTCTTATTGTTTTATTTTCCTTGGTTTTATCCCCTTTAAAAAGAATTTTAAAGTGAGTGTGTGGTAGTGTCATGCACAAATAAAACTACAAGTTCATGTAGGTGCAAAAAAGAAGTGGCAAACTAATATTTACCTCAGTTTGTCATTTTCTAGGTTGTCTTTGATATTATTACTATTGCTGAATGTATTGCTTTAGCCAAAGAGACATAATGGTTCCAACCAGCTGTTCTTCCTAGTATACCAAGACTGACACTACCTAAGAGTCATTAAAAATACTACAGGCCATACTATTTGTTCAGTTATGCATGCCTGTAATTTATAATCTGAGGAATTACTTTAAAGCTAACAATATGAAATATACTACTCACTGTTTAATTTCCTATTATCTTGTTTTGAAAGTCTGCATCAGTTTCTTTTTTTTTTTTTCTCTTTAAACTTTAAAAAGAAAAAGCTTAGCATAGCAGCTCATACTGTAATCCCAGCACTCGAGGCAGGAGAATCATTGTGAATTTGAGATCAATTTGGACTACAAGTGAGCTCAAGGCCAGCCTAAACTGTATAATGAGACCCTGCCTCAAAAAAGACCAAAAAAAAAAAAAAAAAAAACTAAAAAAAAGAGCTACAGGTCAGTGCCAAAGAACCAGGGGCTGGACCAAGTATGCAGCAACTTCTCATCCACAATGAACTGAAGAGGTAGAATATTGCAAGAAAGTCAAAACCCAAAAGCCAGCTAAACCTAGAAGACATTTCTGAGATGTAATAGTCATATCCTAGTAAGACTAGTAATAAAGCTACTCACCATAAGCAATTTACAAGCAGCAACCCAGGAATTAAACAAAAAAGAAGAAGAAGAAAAAACAAACAAACAAGATGCAACCCCAGATGTCCAGCTCACCAAAGGCAAACACGGGGCAATGAGGTAGAACAATCCACAAATCCTCCTGGCCTCTATGAAGTGGTAACAATGGAAGTAACAAGGCAAATGAATGAGGTTCTAGAAAAACCAAGGGCTGACCTCTAATGTGATATAGCAAGAAGCTGTAGGGGAGGGGCTGTTGAAAACAATGAGCTAGAGTAGATATTCTATTTAAAGGCAATGTGGAGAAGAAAAGACTTCATTCTTAGAAAACTTACTTATGTGGGAACCAGCACTTAAGATGTCTGCTATACTGTATTGGTAACAATCACAGAAAGAACAATCACCAAGAAAGGACTCACCACTAATTAAGATAAACATATCCCTTCCCAGCACACACACATGAGGCACCAACACATACTTTTCAATATCCTTATTCCCTACCAGACCATATTGAAGAAGAAAGAAAAAAACATACACACAGAAAAACATAAGAGGAAAAATAAGAGTGGGTCATGAATTTTCTTATTCTTAGTGACTTCTATCAAAACCTGGGAAAGATGAGAAAATACTTTTTTTATTAAATAAGGAATGTAGTCTTTAAGAAAGGGTGTCTTTTTAAGTTTTACTGAAGAAAATTACTCACTATAAAGAAATACACATACCCAAACACATAACTCAATGAATTTGCACAAATTGAACATACCTATCTAACTAGCATCAAGCTAAAAGAAAGACATAATCCAGACCTCAGGAAAGATCCTTTATACTCTCTTCTAGTTACCACTCTTAATCACCCCCAGGTGATTGCCAGGCTTCTAATAGCAGAAATAATTGGTTGGGGGGACTTTATATGAGTGGAATTATTCAGTATGAATTATTCAGTATTATTCAGTATAAAGTATCTTGCTTCTTTTGTTCAACTAAACTTACTCAGTAAACTCAATATACTGAGAAGTAATTAAAGGAAAAGACTGGTGAATAAAGCAAATAAGAGAGAATTACACATAGTCCTAGAAAAAGGGGGGGGGAGGGCAAGAGATAAGTTTCCTTACTAACTTCTTATAGTTTTTAATCTCCATTTCTAGACTCTGTGAGGTCTAACAAAACTTCAGGGGAATACTTTTGTACCATTATAACAAGCTTTTTCTATCTCTTTAAATGAGGTCAACTTAGTTTCTATCATTTCTACAAACAAAAGATTCTTAAGCAAAATAAGGAGTTAAGCAGGAAAAGGTATCTAGGATGATTGCCAGGCTTTTGGCTTGTATGATATACTTAACAGCCAGAGAACACAGAAGAAAAAACAAATGAGCATAAATGAGCATATAGCACTGCTAAGGCAATAGTAAATATTAGCATAACTACAAATTACAGTGATTTTCCAGTGACTATTAGGAGAACTATAAATGTTGAACTCAAAAATTAAATAAATAAATAAACAAATAAAGACACATAAATAGTTCTTTCCTAAAAAACTGATTCTCAAAGCAGAGTTCCTAGGCTAGCAGCATTAAATTTGTTTAAATGCTAATTCTGGGCTCGGGATTTAGCTCAGTGGCATAAGGGCCTGCCTGGCAAACCTGAGGTTGTCAGTTTGATAGGAAGGAAGGAAGGAAGGAAGGAAGGAAGGAAGGAAGGAAGGAAGGAAGGAAGGAAAGGAGGGAGGGAGGGAGGGAGGGAGGGAGGAAGGAAGGAAGGAAGGAAGGAAGGAAGGAAGGAAGGAAAGAAG